AAATTTAAATTGATAATCTTGAGATTTAATGCATTTCTATGTATTCAAATTTGAATAGGGATATTTCGGGTTGTACGTAGAAATAAGTTTGATTTTGCTGGAGAGATATTGTTAAATATTGTAGAATTATCAATTGTCAATCCATACACAAATTAGGTTAAAAGATTACGTTCGAAAATATAATATAAGCTAATAGTGTAGCTGGATTCCTAACATGTTTTCTCACATCAAACTCTTCCAATTTAATTTATAATTGCATTTCAAAAGTATCATTTGTTTTTTTGGTTTTTTATCGAGATCTAATAGAATTTTAACTAAAGGTTAAATCCTCATGGAAATGATGTACTCAATTTAAGCTATTACCTGTCAACTATATCGTACATTTACGGAATTTTAAAGAACAATTGGAATGCTGCTGGATAAAAGGTTGACATGATATGACTTGAACAAGGGTTGACTAGACTTGATTAAATTGTGTATTTTTACTTATTATTTGTAAGTGAGATATTACTATATGCACATTTTATGTACATTTGACTTTACTAAAACAAATAAAATGCTATGAACATTTTTGATACATGTTATGAAGGTGTGATACAGAAATGATTGTTGCAAAGCGGGTGTAAACAAATTTGGTAAACTTCGATCAAGCTCCTCTTTGATAAAAATTAAAATTTTAATTTCAGTCAAAGTCAACAATTAGTTTTAACTACACATTTCATGAGACCTATAACTTTTAAAAAACATACATTTCATCAACTTTATCAAAAATTTTGATTTTAATCCCCATGAACTGGGAGCTAAATAAATCTGACGTTCTTTTTTGCTTTTCACTTCAAGTTTTTTTAGCATAGTGAATGTAATATTTTCTTTAAGTGAAAAAAAACATAGAATGTGAATTTGTCATTCTTTCTAAATAATGTTTCATGTTAGGGTAATTATATTTACACAATGTTTTTATTAATCATATCACATTTTTATCATAATAAAAGACTTCAATCTTTACTTATATTTGCACTTATATCCCTAAATTTTTCATTGTGTCTTAGCATATTGAATAGAATAAGAATACGACGAAAAAAATTATGACATAAAAATTTTTAGGGCATAAGTGCAAAAAAGAGCAAAGTTGAGAACTTTCATTACATTTAAAATGCAGTATAGTTACAAAAGCTCTAGTTTAAATGTAATTATTATTTATTTTATTGAAACGAATATATTATATGACTCATCATTTGATATTCGTAGCTAATGGTGAGTTTTTACTCAAAATAGTGGAAAGTGCCATTTGACACTACACCAAAAAAGAGCTTTTGCAGCGGCAGAAAAAACGCTGCAAGCCGTTGAGAGAAGACTTTTTGCAGCGTTTTTCACCATTGCGAAAAACTCTTTTGCAGCGTTTTTAAATATTGTTGTAGACCCTTTTGCAACATTTTTAAAACGTTGTGAAAAATTCTTTTACAACATTTTTTAAACGTTGTGGTAGACTCTTTTAAAGCGTTTTTTAAATGTTGCAAAAAACTCTTTTGCTGAGTTTTTTAAATGTTGCGGTAGACTTTTTTTTTTTTTTTTTACAGTTTTGGTATTTGAGTATTTGACCCACAAATTTAAAAATAACACTTTGTGA